AGTGGTTAGAATTACATCAGCTGCACTGTTGTTATTCACTGTGCTTTTCCACTGTTAAGGATACAATACATGTAGGTTCATTCATTCACCTCATTTGTAGTACAATTAGGTGACAAATCAATACATTATGCCACTCAGTTCAGCATATTCATTGTCTAGGTAGGGTTACTGTTGTTAGTTCTGGAGCCAGTCATTTGCACCATGGCATGCTTACACAAATGACCAAAAAACAGGTACAATCTTTCTATATGTATTACCATTGTGATAAATGTCTGTCATGGAATTCAATTGCTCTGCTTCTATCATCTTGATGCAAAATTGATATTTTGCAAAGGACTGTCTTCGGTGATTATACACATCATAAATCACACCTTTTTTCTTCTTACCATGCTGATGACCCTGCAGAAATTGGGACACTACAGCGTTACTAAATGACGTTTGGAATTTTACAGCACTTCTTCAGAAAGCTTACAGCACAATTGAAATTTCACACTAGTATAGTTTAACATTAGCACAGTGTAAAACTCATTACATGCATTATTGGTCATATACTTGCTTTTCAACAATAATTTTGTCGGTTACTTTTTTGGATAGCTGCAAATGATGTACTCTACCTTTAAGTTGGAGTTTGTGTTTAAAGTTGCCTGTTGTATTGTCAGCATTGTGTCTGATTTACACAGTACCTTTTTTGGTTTGACTGAAATGTTAGTAAATAATTTTTAAAAATCCAGTGTGATGTTCCCTTCTTTCGCATCTTCAGATTCAAAACAGTATCTTTAAAAACAATAGCTTTAACTCTAAACCTAACGTTCCTCAATCCTCAAAAATCAACTAGGCACTTTCGGAAGACTTTGAAGGAATGAGGCTGTATGCCTGTTAAGTGCCTGCCGGTATTGATTTTGGAGGATGCATATCCAATATTTATGTGGAGGTTGTTTGAGGATTTTTCCAGGATTGAGGACGCATCCTAGCCAAAAAGGCCTGAAGAGATTAGGGTTACTGTAAAAATTGTTCATGTACAAAATGAAGGCCTACATGTGTACGTGCAAATAGTACTTTTGCCAAGTTCACGACCCTATATTCCAAGAAATCCTGGCGCATGTTTTCAATCATATAGAACATTGAACTTAAATATTTTGTACATCCGACAGGTTTTTTTAATTTTTGGCTTGACACAAATGAGATCCTTGCTCTTATTTCAGATTGATGTAAAGTATGTAGTTTGAAGAAAAAAAATCTGTTCAAGAGATTGATGTAAAGTCTATCTTTGACAAGGTGTTAATCATTGAATTTACACAACTGTGTCAAGTTTTAAAAAAAATAAATTTATTTAAGATATGTAAGATATTTTTAAACAAGATAAGAGTCCATACCAATTCTGTTACCATTTCTTTCTCTTGGAAGGAACATTGATATATTTTTCCCATTAACTGCATCTCACATGTCTCAACGCTGCAAGTTGTACCCTTCAATTGAGCTAAGACTGTTTTAAAGCCATGTACCGGAAGGATCATTTTCAGTTTCGGTACCTTCCGATTTAAAGAGCCCATTACATGCATTTTACTTGGAAACATAATTTGTGCAACTTTGTACTCTTAATTGTATGAACATTATATGACATCCCTTTTTGGTTAATCTTAGTGGAAAGTGCACTTCTTTAAACATTTAAACATTTTCCATGCTTTTCCTGACAAATGAGGGTGTTGTTGATTTCAAGAAGACACTGTTCAGTTGAGGGGTTTTCTGTTCAAATTGTGAACCCAAAATTTGCTCATTGAAAAATTTTGTGAGAAAATGTTGCTACTGTCATGTACTGAAACAACAATGAATCGTCAAAGCAAAGAAAATTCACGACAGCAAAATATCCAAAATTCTGGCTACTTTTGGTGCTGAAATACATGTAGCTGTAACATTAAGGTTACTGCCTGAAATGACATCACACTTTTGCTCATGAATATGGACACTTACATTAAGCTAAAGCCATAAAGGCACCAAAATACCCTTTAAAATGGCAAATTGAAAATACGGATAAATGGGACACAATGGTGTGCTTACAAGGGCTGCATTAAAACAAAAACACATTACATGCCCTTTAATGACAGAAACCTTGCTCATAGTGAAGATAGGACTGGTATCAAATACCCTGTGAAATGACACGGCCTGAAATTATATCATTGAAGGTGGTTTCAAACTAGGGTGCCGAGGAATACACTTCCTCCACGACTAACCAGACCCCAAAAACCTTACACACATTTTCTGTTTTCTAAAAATGTAGTGTATACACTGAGCTGAAACTTCAACAGGGTAGTTGTTACAGGTACAATATGTATCATACTTAGGATTTTGTGCAATTTTGTTTCTTCAAACACACACAAAAATGCACAAAAAAGCAAATAATCCTATGTGCCTATTAAGGAGAAGACTTGCTTACTGACGATTGCGAGCTGTCAGTGCATATGTTAACATGTTAGATGATCTAGTTTCACAGGTCTAAATTACATTAAGCATCCAGGCTTGAGGATAACATGCATCACACGTATGAAGGACAAGCACCTCTTCCTAGCTGTGCTCAGGGTCTTTTAATTATGAGCTACATGTACCTCCCCATCAGTTTCTTGATCGGACATTTAGAGTGCTGTTGTAGACAAGGTACAAACGTCCCTATTCAGGGAATTGGTTTGCAGTACAAACTTTGACCTTCACTTGGAGGGATTTAAAGTATGAGGACTCAAATGGCGCAGTTAGTTCGTTCCTCGCCTTCCACCTCTATGGCTCAGGTTCGATTCCTGCCTTGGTCCACGTGTGGATTGGGTTTTCAGTCCCAGTCTGACTCTGTTGGTTTCCTCGCAGAATTTTCTTGTGGGGTATTTCTCCCACCTCTGAAAGTGGAATTTCTTCATTGTCTTTTCTCTACAGGTTTTTTTTCAGGCTTGTGATGAGCTACAGTGCCCAGGGTGCTTTAGAGGAATCCTTGGTTTCATTATCAGAAATGTATAATGATAAGAATATAATATTTTTTCCAGCATTCTTTGGTTTCATGTGGTTTGAGAAATAAAGCAAAGTGAATTTTTGCCTCAGTACATCCTATAACGCATTATGGACAAATGGATTTTCGGTCGTAGTTGTACAACTTAGAAACGAGTTTGAAACATTAGTGCATATGCTTCAAGTGGTAGCCATGAGAAAAATTGATCAACCTAATAATCAACAGACACTCATTTGGATTTGATTAAGTGATGGATCAACCCTTTTCTGTACTATAATAAGTATCTCTCTTGCCAAAAGAACCATATTATTTTTTTTGTAAAGGATCTCAAGGTACTTTTAAACCAGCCAGCCAGCCAATTGAGCACAGGAAATAACAAGCATTTGTTACCTCAAAGCCGCTGTCTGATACGGCCCATTTAATTAACTCATGCTTTTAGTCAAAAGAGCACGGGCAACCTCAACCAGCAAGCGACGAGGCAGTTGCCAAGGACTAAATTACTGAGCACACATGGCCTTGTTTGCTGATGATCAAATTCTCATTAAGACTGCCGCGTCCAAACATTTTGCAGGCTCCGTTTATTAACCACAATATCAAACAAAATGGAATGATGATGGCACGGAATCGTCCGTGCTTGAAGTTTGAGGAAGGTTTTTTGCCGTACTCTTGGGGGGGGGGGAGTCTGGTGTTCTATGGCTGCAAATAAACAGACTGTTGTCAAGTCGAAGTGCTCTACAATGGAAAGTGTTAATTAGTTGTGTTTATTCATTAACTACCTGCATTTTGGTCCGTCATACTGGAATTCTTTGAAGGATGTTCAAATAGGGTCAAATAATCTTAGAAAAATTTGTCTTGACATGTTTATAATTCTAACAAACGACATATAGATCTATGCTTGCTTGATGCTTGATGCTCAAGTTGTGCAGTTGTGCAGGTGCAGTAGATATACAGGTGCAAGTATAAAAACATCCTCACTTCTTAGAGTTGCTGGTGGGTGGTGGTGGGACGCATGTCTCTCACTGCTGGAAGGGCCACTGCCTTAAAAGCTGCAACTGATGGTTGTTTTACTGCTTCCAGCAGGAGCCTGTTCCTTTCTTGTTACGGTGCGGACTAAGAATGGGAATTGGAATGAGTTTCTTAACGCCTGGATTGGTTGGTAGTGAAGATGATGTTGGGATGGGTGAAGTTGAACACAAGGTGGAAAACTGACATTGACCGTAGTTGTAATGAATTTTGTAGAACATGGTGCACTGGTGTAGAAGTCTTCTGATGGCTAGCTGATCCAGCTTGACTTGTTGGAGTAATGGAAAGATATAACTTGTTGTCATGGACCCCACATATGTAACAGACTGCCTGGCGTTGGATTGATTCCAGTGAATAGATTTTTTTTAGCAGTGTGAGGACTCCATACAGCGGCCGTGTAATCCAGTTGGGGAAAAACCAAAGCTTCGTATGCTGCATGTGTATTGTACATTGTACACATGCAGCTACTTGTGTGGAATTAATTTTTATTCCGTAGAATCATTCCGCTCAACTGGTGGTTAGGTTTGCTCCAGATTAGCAGGATAAGAGTCTGTTTTTCCCCTGTGCGCGCGCGTACAGACGTTTTATTTGAGTTTTCCGTCATAATTACATCATGCTAACTGTGCTGTGGTCGACTCCCTCCAAAGTCCATCACAAGTCCATCACAAGTCCATTACAAGTCCATCACAAGTCCATCACAAGTCCATCACAAGTCCATCACAAGTCCATCACAAGTCCATCACAAGTCCATCACAAGTCCATCATAAGTAGTCTAGTCTCAAGTCAAGTCACAACTGAGCTATAGATTTCATATTAAATGTGACACTAGCATTTCTTCGTCATTGCTCATCTCCTGTTACTTTTGATGGACTTTATGACTACAGCACTACATGTACATCCGAATCCATTGTGTTTGAATTAGAATTTTGATCTTCAGTACTTTGTGCAACCTCCTAATCCATATTCTCTTCCTTCACTGACAATCACGCAGGTGCCCCACTAAGATCTCGCCAAGATGATGAGCATGCGTGCCAAGCAACGGCCCTCGCAGACTTCGGTCTCGGGCCCCTCCCGCTATGACCGCATGGCTGCCCCAGGACACATCCACAACATGAACAACAAGGTCAACTGGTCCGAGTTTGTCGAAGAAAGGGTAAGGTCATGCTCACACTTTATAAAAGCACGTATGTAGGAACATCTGCAATTATCTGAAAATGTATACCTAACGATTTAATGAGAAAATCATTGCTAAAATTTAAGAATACCAATCATTGAAGGCGGCTTAAGAAAGTGTACCTGTGGGCTGTTTTATGTGCATTTGCAATGGAATCCAGTTAGGAGACTTCAAAAATTGCGCATATGTTTTCTCTGTTTTCGCAAAATGTATAGTACCGTATCCACTGAGCTGAAACGTCAACAAGTTGTTTTATGAGCAATTTTGGTACCTTAAATGAAAAAAAAAAATGCACAAAAGGCAAATGATCCTACCTTTAATAATAGTTGGTGCTTTTTTTTTTTTGGAGACCCGATCATAAAATACTATTGTGGAAGACTCAGATAGACCTTTTGTGTTAAAAGAAAGGTCTTTTGAAAACTGGTGTATATTTAAAGCATTTAATGTTTTTCTGGGTTTGGTTTGTGGAAAAAGTTATTGACACTCAAAAAGGTGGAAAGAATCATCAGTGATAAAAGGCAGACTCAGGCTTTTGCACTTTTTTTGTGCTTCCAAAATCTCTGGTCAGGTGAAGTGACTTAATCGAGAGTGGCACTGATGTAAATGCTGAATTCCTAATTTAACATGTTCCCCGGTTCCCAGCCCAATACGGTACCCAGCCCCTCGGTTACTTACCACCTGCTGGCTGGAGTGGGCCCACTCATTAACGATCGCGGCAAAGTGCAATTAATAAAGCTCCCAAATTGACAGAATGAACGATGCCCTTTGCTGGCTCTCGGGCAAAAATTAATTGAGTTTGGGGCATCTGGCATGAGTCGCTGAAAACACTCTGATAATAAGCAGAAAACTGGTCATTAATTAACTGACTTTAATGCTCGATTTAATTAGTGATTTCCTGTTTGATTTTTGGCTTTTTTGGCAAAGTACATTGCTCTGCGGATTTTAATGGACCAATAATAGTACTCTTATGGTGTGGCCTTTCCAAAGAGTTGATGGTTTTGACTAACACATTTTAAAGCTCATGTAGTACATGTATACAAATGTTTTCCATTGTGATGTCATTCATTCCTTGGTGCTTGAAGGGACACATGTGGGCAATTACGGATGTTACATTCAGAGCCTCAGACCAGTTTGAAACGACAAAATAAAATACTTTCAGTGACAGCAAATTTTAAATATTTGGTACAACTCTAACCTAGGCCTTAACCCTCCTATGCAAACATGCAATTCTGTGCCAAGTTGTCCTTTCAGTCAAAATCAATCAAGCCCAAGCCCATCTAAAGGCCGGTTCATTTGTTTTGTTATCTATTCCCCTCTCTGTGCCTATATTCTCCAAGAAAGACTTACTGTAGTTGCATATCTATGCATGTACATTATTTAAAACGTGTGTTGTGCGTGCACAAGACAAGTTGCTGATCAAAATTAAAACCCTCAGTTACTTATTGATGAGTGCTGGTTTTATCTCTAAAGAGGTTGTTTAAATTTCCTTAGATGCAAGTTTAGTTCTAAAGCAAGGTTAATGCAGGTCATGAGAAATGCAGTCATCCACCGTCCCAAACCGTAAATAAATAAATAGTGTCCTCTTTGTTTCCCTGGTAACAACGTGGAGTGAATCATATTGCTCAGAATAAATAAGGGAGTTGTCCCATTTAGTAAAGCATGGTAGTTAAGGTTGCTGTCGGGATGTAGACAGGGGTACCAGGTTTGATGGTACAGGTTGTGTAAATAAATCCTTACATGGGTTCGAACCCTGACGGGGAACATGGTGCTTGTGCTCTTGGGCAAGGCACTTTACTACGATTGCCTCTCTCCATGCAGGAGTATAAATGGGTACCTGTGCTTGGTGGAGACCAAATTGCGCTGATCTCGAGCTGCTGCGTAACAAATGGTCTCATTCTTGATGAACAGGGATAATAATTGTGATGCACATTTGATCAAGTTCATATGGAATTTTTTGCAATATAAATGTATGAATTATTATTATTATACATTGACCTGTTGCTTGCTGGCATGTCGCCACGCCCATTGATAGCCCTAGGGAATTTTGTACGTTGAGTTTTGTTTGTCTGAGATTGTGTGCGTTGCGCGTCGATTTGTATATCATGCAATTGGACAATATTTCATAAGCTGCGTTGAAGCGATTCTACCGTGATAGGTCAATTGGCAATGCGCAAGTAATATCCAATGAAAAGGAAGAAAACAATCTTGTGGTGCCAGTTTCATGACGATTTTGGGGCTGGAAAGGTATCCCCGATTTGTTACCCAAAATGACACATGTCAAGGCGTTTTTTTTTGGTTCTGTTTGTTTGTTTTGTTTCTGAGGTTTTTTTGTTTTTGTTGGGTTGTTTGTTTGTTTGTTTATTTTGGGGCAGGGAGGGGAGTTGTGGTACTAAAGAGTTTTGAGGACAAATTTACTTGTATTTTGATCAGGGGAAAGTTTGGAGAAATGTAAGCGAGTTTATTTCCAAAATGCAATATATCCATTTTGAAAAAGGGAACAATTTGCACGGTTAGGAAACTTTAAAAATTAAAGAGTAAAAACAATAAAGCAGCTGTTTCTAAACTTCATGGTGTTTTTTTTTTTTTTTGCTTTGGTGTATTCTTAAATTGTGTTTAACGATAACAGCTGTCGAAACTGACTATAGATGGGCAGCCAGGAAAGGGTGGGATTCTAAAAGGTGACAAAATGGACTTTATCGCATTTCTACCAACAAATGGACATTGGCAATTTTGCATTTTGTTGTGTTTGGTGACTAGTGGTACATATATGAAACACATGTTGAATGTTCTAACTTATGGTACAGTAAAAAGAAGCGTCCCTTTTTGATCCTTGGAGTATAGTCTGCTGCTCAGGAAATTAGGGCTGTCCATTTTTGAAAAATTTAGTATTTGAGTATTGGACACTGTGTTTAAGAGTTGGGGGAGACCATTAGGTAGGACATTTGAACGCATTGCCTATGACACCTGAGGCTCACGTGAAGACGCTGTGGCCTTGTGCACATTCAGTATATAATTAGTCATGCGTACTTTGCGCCATACGGTACGTGCGCGAACAAGTATCCGCATGCTATGTGTCCCATCCACTGAGCTCTCGAAAGTGGTCAAAAAGTGCCGTCAATTCTTCATGCACGGAGTCTGCACTACATGAATGAATATAGACTAATTCCGCAAGAGCCATTGTCTTATGGTGGCACCAGGTGGCGCTGGTAATACGCACGCACTCCAGGCTCCTTCATCTAATAGGGCTACCAAAATGCGTGCACGCCCCATTAAGAACGCATGTATGCGCGCGAGTGTGGTACCACCTCGAAAATTTCATTCTGTTAATGCTCTTGTTTGATAGGTTGCTTTAATTATTAATAATTTAATGCCACATGCCATTTTTGCTGGCGAGGCATAGGTTGTCTTTCTTTGAAGGGGATTAACCATAATTCCCCAACTGCCTTATTGGCCATTATCTAGATTAGGTTGGAAGGAGTTAATAAAAGGTGAAGGCCATTCTTTTTATATACTACATCTTTACTATATCAGTATGCCAATATAAGCCTTTGGTTATTAATGTAGGAATTTTATTTTTATTTCGTTCAGTAGTGGTGTTCTAACTCCATTTTTTATTTAAAGCCCACTTTTTATATCAGCCGTGCGCAGCACGCTGATATACTGTGATCGTCCAGTTTCTTTCTTTATATCAGCCGTGCGGAGCACGCTGATATACTGTGATCGTCCAGTTTCTTTATATCAGCCGTGCGCAGCACGCTGATATACTGTGATCGTCCAGTTTCTTTCTTTCTTTCTTTCTTTCTTTCTTTCTTCGGGCAAACGGTCACGTGACCAATGAAAAAATTGCCATAACTCCTAAACCATTCAGCCGATTTCAAACAAACTTGGCCAAATTAAACCTTGTCACATGCCCTACCTAGCCATGTTCGTAAAATCCGGTCACTGGTCATTAAAGGGGCACTAGAGGTCATTTAATGAATATTTACAAAATGCTTCTTCTCCCACAGTCATGACCCAATTGATGTAAAACTTGGTCAGTTGTATCTTTAGACCAAGCCTCACAAAAGTTGTTCACAGAATTCGGCCAGTGGTCGCCTATTGGTCAGTAGGGGTCTTTTTATGAAACAAAATTCAAAAACTGTTTAACATTTTAAATCTTTGCAGCCCTGTTCAGTGTATTTTTTTTATCTCTAATTCCTAAATTTCATATTCCTGACTTATTTGGTTGTTGAGTTATTTCAAGTTTTGCATTTTTCAAATGCCTGTAAAAAACAATATAAACACATAGGAATTCTGGGAAGGTTTCAAACCACCACGATACTGTGGATGTTGTGTGACATACAGTGCCACACTCTCCACAGACTTTGCACTTAACCGCTTTGTGGCCTTGACACTGCATACTTTTGGTCTGTTACAGCAGTAGTAGTGCCACCTGTGCAATGTGTTCAGCCAGATACTCCACTGTGGATTAAAGAATACAGAGGCCAATAAATAACACTATTGCTGTGGTGAATTTTTGAGTGTTTTTATGGATTAATCTACGGGCATTAACTACTGTTTCATGTGTTGTCTTTACGGCTATTTTTTGTAATATATCGGCGGTCTTAATGTCAAATATTCATAGTTTTTTTCTGTTACATTCTTTTGCCGATCTCAGCCATAAAAGCGCAGCTTGTGGTCAGTGCGAGTCAGGATTCAAACAAACCGATAAAACGGCAATTTAGGCTGATATCCGTGCTTCGGGAAGCACATTAGCTCTAGTTCTTTCTTTCTTTCTTTCTTTCTTTCTTTCTTCGGGCAAACAGTCACGTGACCAATATAAAAATGGCCATAACTCCTAAACTATTCAGCCGATTTCAAACAAACTTGGCCAAATTAAACCTTGTCACATGCCCTACCTAGCCATGTTCGTAAAATCCGGCCATTGGTCATTAAAGGGGCACTAGAGGTCATTTAATGAATATTTACAAAATGCTTCTTCTCCCACAGTCTTGACCCAATTGATGTCAAACTTGGTCAGTTGTATCTTTAGACCAAGTCTCACAAAAGTTGTTCACAGAATTTGGCCAGTGGTCACCTATTGGTCAGTAGGGGTCATTTTATGAAACAAAATCCAAAGACTGTTTTACATTTTAAATCTTTGCAGCCCTGTTCAGTGTATTTTTTTTATCTCTAATTCCTAAATTTCATATTCCTGACTTATTTGGTTGTCGAGTTATTTCAAGTTTTACATTTTTCAAACGCATGTAAAAAGCAATATAAAAACATAGGAATTCTGGGAAGGTTTCAAACCACCACGATACTGTGGATGTTGTGTGACATACAGTGCCACACTCTCCACAGACTTTGCCCATAACCACAGAAGTGGTGTCGCGATACTGCATTCCTTTGGTCTGTTATAGCATGCAGCTGTGCCACCTGTGTAAAGACATGTGTTCAGCCAGATACTCACGCCGTGGATTAAAAAGTACGGAGGCCAATAAGTAACACTACTGCTGTGATTAATTTTTGAGAGTTTTTGTGGATTAATCTACTGGCATTAACTACTGTTTCATATATTGCCTTGACGGCTATTTCATGTAATGTTTCGGCAGTCTTAATGTCAAATGTTGATAGTTGTTTGTTTCTCTTACATTCTTTTGCCGATCTCGGCCACATTTAGCAATGATCACCTTGTGGTCAGTGCGAGTCCGTATTCAGACAAACCGATAAAACGGCAATTTAGGCTGATATCCGTGCTTCGGGAAGCACATTAGCTCTAGTTCTTATATCAGCCGTGCGGAGCACGCTGATATACTGTGATCGTCCAATTTCTTTCTTTCTTTCTTTCTTTCTTTCTTTCTTCGGGCAAACGGTCACGTGACCAATATAAAAATGGCCATAACTCCTAAACTATTCAGCCGATTTCAAACAAACTTGGCCAAATTAAACCTTGTAACATGCCCTACCTAGCCATGTTCGTAAAATCCGGCCACTGGTCATTAAAGGGGCACTAGAGGTCATTTAATGAATATTTACAAAATGCTTCTTCTCCCACAGTCTTGACCCAATTGATGTCAAACTTGGTCAGTTGTATCTTTAGACCAAGCCTCACAAAAGTTGTTCACAGAATTTGGCCAGTGGTCACCTATTGGTCAGTAGGGGTCATTTTATGAAAAAAAATGAAAAAGCTGTTTTACATTTTAAATCTTTGCAGCCCTGTTCAGTGTATTTTTTATCTCTAATTCTCAAATTTCATATTCCTGACTTATTTTGTTGTTGAGTTATTTCAAGTTTTTCATTTTTCAAACACACATAAAAAACAAAATAAACACATAGGAATTCTGGGAAGGTTTCAAACCACCACGATACTGTGGATGTTGTGTGACATACAGTGCCACACTCTCCACAGACTTTGCACACAACCGCTGTTACATGTGGCCTTGACACTGCATACTTTTGGTCTGTTATAGCAGTAGTGCCACCTGTGTAAAGATATATGTGTTCAGCCGGATATAACACGAGTGCTGTGGTGAATTTTGAGTGTTTTTATGGATTAATCTACTGGCATTAACTACTGTTTCATGTATTGTCTTGGCGGCTAATTTTGGTAATGTTTCGGCGGTCTTAATGTCAAATATTCATAGTTTTTTCTCTTAAATTCTTGTGCCGATCTCAGCCACATTTAGCGCAGCTTGTGGTCAGTGCGAGTCAGGATTCAAACAAACCGATAAAACGGCAATTTAGGCTGATATCCGTGCTTCGGGAAGCACATTAGCTCTAGTTTCTTTCTTTCTTTCTTTCTTTCTTTCTTTCTTTCTTTCTTTCTTTCTTCGGGCAAACGGTCACGTGACCAATATAAAAATGGCCATAACTCCTAAACTATTCAGCCGATTTCAAACAAACTTGGCCAAATTAAACCTTGTCACATGCCCTACCTAGCCATGTTCGTAAAATCCGGCCATTGGTCATTAAAGGGGCACTAGAGGTCATTTAATGAATATTTACAAAATGCTTCTTCTCCCACAGTCTTGACCCAATTGATGTCAAACTTGGTCAGTTGTATCTTTAGACCAAGCCTCACAAAAGTTGTTCACAGAATTTGGCCAGTGGTCACCTATTGGTCAGTAGGGGTCATTTTATGAAAAAAAATAAAAAGCTGTTTTACATTTTAAATCTTTGCAGCCCTGTTCAGTGTATTTTTTTATCTCTAATTCTCAAATTTCATATTCCTGACTTATTTTGTTGTTGAGTTATTTCAAGTTTTTCATTTTTCAAACACACATAAAAAACAATATAAACACATAGGAATTCTGGGAAGGTTTCAAACCACCACGATACTGTGGATGTTGTGTGACATACAGTGCCACACTCTCCACAGACTTTGCACTTAATCGCTATGTGGCCTTGACACTGCATACTTTTGGTCTGTTATAGAAGCAGTGCCACCTGTGTAAAGATATATGTGTTCAGCCAGATACTCCACCGTGGATTAAAAACTACGGAGGCCAATACATAACACTACTGCTGTGAATAATTTTTGAGAGTTTTTGTGGATTAATCTACTGGCATTAACTACTGTTTCATATATTGTCTTGACGGCTAATTTATGTAATGTTTCGGCAGTCTTAATGTCAAATGTTCATAGTTGTTTCTCTTACATTCTTTTGCCGATCTCAGCCACATTTAGCAATGATCACCTTGTGGTCAGTGCGAGTCCGTATTCAGACAAACCGATAAAACGGCAATTTAGGCTGATATCCGTGCTTCGGGAAGCACATTAGCTCTAGTGCCTCCTCTTCCCCTCCTTTGGGTTTAGTGGCTTGTGTTTCCGATAAAATCCTGCAGAAATTCAGCATTGACATCACTAGGTTTTTTTCCCCAAAATGTTCTGAACAGACATTTTAACCATCCTACTGTTTTAACAGTGACAAACAGTTGAAAATTCCGTCCACTTCCCCTGCCATGCCTTTCATACAGGCTAGTCACCAACAGTCAGATCATATTTGAAGCAAGCACTGTGGCTAGTCAAATTCAGTCAACAGACAAAATCGGGCAACTGGTAGGCACAGCTGTCTTACCAATCACATTCAACGCATAGCTTTATCAAGTAAACAGTCGCAGCCAGTCAATCCTGCTTTATGTAGGCTGGGAGCTCTTAACTGTTGAAAACAGTCACTTGATTGATTTTGACTGAAAGGACAACTTGGCACATACATGTATGTTTGCATAGGAGGGTTTTAATGGCTTGTTAGATCGTTACGAACGTACGATATGGGCGTGTCAATAAGATGTTGTATGCCTGGATTCTTTTGTACATGTAGGTTCATAGATACGTTACTCGAATCCCAATATTCTTTTAATTAAATAAGTGTCATCACCTATTTTCACTATGTTCGAAATGAGGCTTTTACTTGGAAGACTATGTCCATGTTTGTTTTTACATGAGAAATTATCAAAAGAGTTTTTATTAAAGGAGTGTTTTGTTTGCTCCCCCCCCCCTTTGTTTTTAACATCTATGTATAGGAACAGAAGGGTGGGAACCAGTTGCCGGCCATACCAGGTGGCAGTGGTCTCAATAACAGCTTCAGGAAACGTGCCCCACTATCGACAGCAGATTTGGGTGAGACATGATTCATTCTTTGTACTTCAGATTTCTCTTGAAACATTGTTTAGGGTGAAACAGGGCTTGTTTTCTTACATTTGTTCTTTTCAGAAATGTACTAATGCAGATACATGAATGAGTGAGGGCTCGTCTCAATTCATATCCGTGATGACTTCCAGACAAGTTGCAAGTAGAATCATTCACTTTGTCCGGAACAAGCTCTGCATTTGTCCCGGACATGTTCCGGGGAAATTTTCATTAGTAACTGCTTGACTCACCAATACTGATAATTTCAATTGCGGCAAAGTTGTTCAGCATCTTGCAACTCATACCCGATACAATGTAAGCAACTTGTCCGGAACTCATCCCGGATATGAATTGAGACGGACCCTAAATCACGACATACAATATTGACCAGGAAAATGACGTTGCAATGTTTCTCAGTGATCTGCAAACCCAAACCGGTTGATTTTAGGCTGAAGCTAACAAACTGGGGTAATGTATTTGTTTACAGTTTGTTTAAGCTTGACATTTGTTACAAACTATACCATATGAGTGTGTGAGGAAATGTTGGCAAGATCTTTTCCATCATGAATTCTATTGGACCTCTTTTCATAATACTAGAGCCGTTTCTTGTTTCCTTTTTCTCATGTGTGTTTGAACATATGTTTGCACCGCCCCAAACTACCCTGCCTATTTTGTCCTGTACAACCCGAAACCACCCAAAACTGCCCAAGCACTCGATGGTTGAATGAATTATGAATTAGTGTAAGCTGCATAAGGCCAAAAAAAAAAAGTCTCCGGTTTCTGGTATGCGCGCGCGTCGCCATAGCCATGCGCGTCGGCAAAATGAAAAAGTTTTTTTTTCAATACAAGATGATGTCTCAAAACCGCCAAACTCACTGGTTTGACTGGAATTCTGCTGCTGCACAATTTTAACGCATTTTTAGATGGGGTTATGATCGAGAATAAGATTTATGTGGCCTCTCTGGACTCCCATATATTTGCACTAAGTTTAGTCGGGCACCATTTGCAGTCATCAGCCGACATTTGAAGCCAAAAAAAAAAAAAAAACAGGTAAAAAAAAAAAAAAAAAAAGCTGCGTCGCCGCACCACTTTTGGGGCAAGCTCCATACCAGAAACCGGAGACTTTTTTTTTTGGCCTAATTGCTGGTATAAATTTTGACATTTTATGGCAAGCGCCATGAGCGCTCATCTGTGGTAGATACCGGCACTTTATAGGTCTTCTTCATTCATTCATTATTCATTATGAGTTATAAAATTTGACAAAGATAAAAGGGAATTCACTCATATACACTGACATGAAATACTTGGGAAAACTTTTTATACAAATATATTCTCGTTGATATTGAAGAATAAACAATTGCTTCATTCCTCGTCTGATATGAAAAAATCACAAGCTGCCAGCGACAGATTCACAATCCTCCCCGAAATCGAGGGCATCGACATCGACAAAGAACTGCGGGAATCCCTGAGCGCGCCCCTGAAGGACGTCAGCCGTCAGCGACTGCGGGCCATCAAGATCAGCTTCCGTCGCCTCAGCAGCATGGACAACCGCATCTCCACCAAAGACGCCCTGGTGGTGCTGGGAGAGCACAACATAAAGATCTCCAACCGCACGTACCAGATGATTGTCCGCAAGTTTGAGACGGACCGGGGCATGGATATTGACAGTCTGTGGAAGTACATGGCCGAGGCCCAGGCAAGCACAGGTTAGTTCCGGCCTGTATTGAAGTGAACACAAGTCCTTTCATCAGTCCAGACACAACCAACAGTGTGTGAACAGTTACAAAGGACTGCTTTTGGAGAGAGTTCATTTGAACAACTTGTGACTTGACTTGGGACTGGAGGACTTGTGAGGGATTGTGATGAACTTGACTACAACGCTGCATGTGGGCAATCAAAGTCCACTTCTTTTGCTAGTGAGGACAGTGTTGTAGGACTCAAGTCCGTCTTGAGTCGCAAGTTTGGTGACTCTGACTCGACTTGAGTCACAAAAGACTCAGACTGGGACTTGACCACCAAGACTCAGTTTTGATGCTGACGTCTTCTTTTTTATATCAAAAAACCTTCACAAACAGTTTTTAAAAACATAATAAATTTTAATGTTTATTTCCCGAAAGTAGACTTGAACCAACTGACTCATGACTAGAACTCGGACTCAACCCAATTTACTCGAGAGTCGGATGCGGACTCGACTCACGTGACTCGACTACAATTCTCATTGACTGTGTGCAACACGACACCCTGAGGAGTTCTCACATACAGCCCATTGATGGTTCTTATTCCTCCAGATTTTGATTCAGTTTTTTCCCCCTGTCTGTGCAGGAAGAGAAAGCATTCAGGCTATCAATCAGAACAAGCAGACCACATCTCAGTCGCTGGAGAAGCTAGATTCTGAGGATATTGCGCTGCTGGCTAGCATCAACAAGGCTCTCAAGTCCAGCAATGAGTATGACCTGGAGGAAATGCGCTCAGTCTGCCAGATGCGGGATATCTCAAGACAAGGATCACTCCCAAGAAAAATGGTAACGACAGTATTACGGCGCTATAACGAACCCCATGGGATCCATAGAAGATTGTGGAACATACGTGTTCCGGTAGTAGTTGTTCGTTACAGCAATATTTGATCGTCAGTTCTCTTTAAATTTGCTTTTACATGACATTTTGGAGCCAAATTAGGGACTCTTCATTATGTCGATCAGTGCTTGTTATGTTGTGGTCTTTCACTGTACATGTCTGTCCTAATAGTTAAAGGGCCCATCATGCATTGTCATTTTTTTAATGCAATCCTTGGAAATGCACCTTTGTGTCCCATTTAACCCAATTTTCAGTTTTTGTTTTGCCATTTTCAAGGGTACTTTGGCATTTTTTTGGTTTTTATGCTAATGTAAATTTCCATTTTCATGAGCAGAGGTATGATTTCGTCGGTCGCACCACGAACCAGCGTATCTCGATTTTTGGGGAAATTGACATAAACGTTTTTATTCATCAAAATGCTCATCCTCACAAAGTTTAATTCCGAACTGAGTTCTAATTAACTAAAAACACTAATATAGGCTCTGCGGTGTATCTCTAAAAACTCTGAAATCGAGGTGAACGTTTTACGAGACGCCGCTTTACACGCTAATTCCCATAGTCTTATGACGTCACCAAGAAGCATCGACATGAAAAGTGTGAATTTAGCATTTCATGAACCGACGTATCCCCGTATCTAGCACACGGCCACTATTACGCGCGTTGTATGAAATACGATAAACATGATAAAAGTCTGTTTCACGAAATGACGTGTATCTTGGGAACTGAATTTCTTAAAAACTAAGCAACTCAGATGCACACGGATTGCATATAATAAAGTTTAATCTATAATTTACTAGCAAAAACGAAACAGCTTGAATTCTTACACAGGGAGTAAAAGGAATAAGCCTACAAAAATATGACCAATTTTAAATCGTTTTTTCCCCCAAAACACAAAAAAAATGGGATACGTCGATTCGTGGTGCACCCGACGATTTCATTTCAGGCAGAAACTTCAATGTTACAGCTGTTTCATCACCAAAAGTTGCCAGAAGTTTGGATGTTTCGCTGTCATAGATTTTCTTTTCTTTGGTGATTCGTCAGTGTGTCAGTATGTGGCAGTAAGCCAGTGAGCAAACTTCCCTCACAAACATTATAAGATGGAATTTTGCGTCGGGGTGATATATATCAAATTAGGTTTGGCCCTTCACCGACATTTAAACACTGTATACTCAGTGTGTTACCTCCCGAGTGAAAGTTGGAAAAAATCACTCGGGTGGGACTCGAACCCACGACCTCCTGCTTTCTAGTGCAGGAGGTCGTGGGTTCGAGTCCCACCTGAGTGCAGGGCAAAACCTAATTTGACTCACAAATATTTCCAATAAGCAAATGTTTGGGTTCATAATTTGAATAGAAAACCCTAAACCTAACAGTGTCTTCCTGAAATGACATCATGACAACAGCGCCCAGTTGTCCAGAAAAGCATGGACAATATTAAATGTTTAAAGAAGTGCACTTTTCAATGAAATTAACCAAAAAGGGATGTCAAATAGTTGTCATACATTTTAAGAGGAGTAGAAAGTTGCACAAAATATGTTCCTCAGAAAAATTCTCTTCATGGACCCTTTAAACATGATATCATTCCAATAAAAATTAATTATGTACCGGTACTGTCACAGTGTAATATTGCTTAATTTTTTTGATACTCCCTGGTGTCAATAAACGGTCAGTTTTGTTTGGTTCTTGTTTTGATAGTTTCGTCGGATTTGTCTTGATCAGCACTTACCTCTGGGTGCCGCCCTGATGAGGACAATGCTGAGGAGATGTGACGACGAAAAGAATGGACTTATCAGGTATTATTTCCCTGTTACACCAGATAACATGTTGCATTCATTACAAAGTCTTTGGGAAGTATAGGTATTAAGAAAGAGACTTATTCCTTGTTGTGTTCTCATTTTTTTTGCAACTTTAAAATCAATCGCTGCCTGATACGTGTATGTTGTGTAAAGAGGACTTTAAAGGGAATGTGCAACATTTGCTTTTGCTGCAATTCTCCGACATAAATGGATTTGGAGGATGAGTATGTTATAGAAAATATTGTTAAACTGACTTGTTTCATGTTTTGGGCTTGTAGATGCTGGAAAAACCAAGTAAACCATTCATTTTCTTGTAGTCTGGTTCCCTGACCCCACTTAAGATGAAACAGAGCAATTTATTGACTTTGGGGAATTGCAAGATCAGAGAATCCCTTTTCAAAGGTGTGTAATCGGTTGCAAAGAAAATGCGAAATAACTAAATATGAAAATGTTGAAGCAGTTTTTGAAAAAAGCCAGTTTTCCCCAACGCTGGTCGGCCGACCAGCGTTGGAAAAATACAAATTTTCTTGAAAATGTGAGCACACCAAGAGCCACAATTTTACAGGATGCTTTAGACTGTCATTCCCTAACAATCCAGTAAGGTGTTTCGTTTTTTAATGTTTGCAAATGTTGTATCTTCCCTTTAAAAAGAAGTCATTAAAATTCCAGATTGTCATTCATACAGTTCACTGGACATTTATTTCATGTACATCTCTTGAAATAAAAAAAAGTGTTTTGTCTTATGGAATATTAAAGTCAAGGTTTACCTACATGTGATGCCTGAATATCAAGTTTCAGTGTAATTTTTGGCTTTTTTTTTTTATGACGATATATTAAAACGGGTAACTATGCTCACGTTGAATGTATTAAGCAAGGCATATTTAAAACTTGTTTTAATTTGTGCACATTTAATTATCAACTGACTTAATAATGTGAGGCTTCCTTGCATTCTCCATCGTACGCCCACATTTGGCTGTCAGGCATCTTATTAGGTTTTGCATTTAGCTCATGTTTCAGTAGCTAAAAATACCTGAACTCAATACACTCGAATGAATAGTGAGTAAATAATTAACTTTTCTAACAAAAATCTCCATCAACCTTACAGCTGGCCAGAATTTCTGATGCTGCTCGAGAAAGGTGTCAACTTTGACGCCGAACAGTACAAAATCAAAAAGAAGCCTTCCTCGGCCATTCACAAGCGGCAGATGATAAGCCACAAGAAGCCGGCAAGTCCAAAAAGTTCGGCGCTCCTCTCGCCAAATGATGCCAAGGCGAAAGACAGTAAAGATACTGGGAAAGTCGGCGTCAAAACAAGGCCTCGATCACCGAGTCCATCCATGTCCAAGGAGACTAAAAATAAAGACAGTACCGCCAGTTCAGATACTAAATCACTCAGCCCTCAAGAAACTGAAAGCTCAAACAGTTTGGCAACTTCAACACAGTCAAGGAGCAGATCGCCGGAGCCCCCGCTTAGTAGACAGGGGTCAAAGGCCAAAGAAGTCAAGGACCAATCAAAAGTTGGGGAGAAACTGGCTGTTAAAATGTCTGATTCTCCAGGCCGAAAGGTGAAAACTAAGGACCAGAAGGACAGTGGGAAACCAAAAACGTCAGAGGAGGTTAAGCTGGATGAAGGTAATGTAAAAATGAAAATGAAATGTCTGAATTTTGTTCAAATTTTAAGAGCCAATAGTCATTACATTATATGATATAAATAATTAACAAGTACCACTACCCCAAAGCAAAAGGAACCATATTTGGGACAGTTTTACATTGTACAATGAAATGAAATTATAATGTATGTTGGGTAATTTGGTACCCAGTCTTTCCCTTATTGTCCTTTATTTCATAATCTTTTTGGTCTGCCTTGTTCAGATGTGTTAGCCGTCAAAAATTTGCCAGCGCAAAGAAAAACCAAAATCATCACATGGAACGATCCAATCACGCTCCCTGTCAAAGCTGACCAATCATCAGCCGCTGTCCCGCTCACAGCAGACCAATCACCTTCCACCACAGACCAAGACAAGGACCCCAGTGCGAGTGACGAGATATGCAAATCGCCTCTGCCTACGGATAAAGTTGAGGGCGCCAAACCTGTTGATGCAGGCGAAACTAGTGAACCAACAATTAATGAGCCACATCAGGAGAACGCATCCGCCGAGTCGGATAAAGCAGCAGACGTTGTCAGTCCTTCAAGCGATAAAACTCCGAGCAGTGAACCCTATGTGGACCCAACGGAACAGGAATACCTCAAAAGGGAGCAAGAACGAATAAATCGCGTCGGCTCGGAAATCACACTGAACGGCTCGGAAAACTCCAGTGTTAGTTCTGATTCAAAACAGGAAGCAAATTCTGTTGCAAATCCAGACCTTCCAGATAATTCGAAATCGCCGGAGGGGGACAATTCAGACGTGATCAGCTTAGCCCCATCAGAAAAGTTGGACAGCAAACCAGCAGAAGTGGACACAACCAAGTTAGATGCAACTGGCCCAGTTGAAGAAAAGAAGGACCCGATTGAAGAAAAACAGGACTTTGAAGGTTCAGAGACAAGTTCCATCTTCGACAAAGAAGACGCAGACACCCAGAGCATTGCCTCTGTGTCCTCGTCCACAAAGTCCAAAGTCCGAAAACCGTCCGAGGTGAGCGAGAAGAGAATGCGAACTGTTTACGGAAAGAACCCACGAAGACTGACGCCACTTGCCAAGATAGAACGAGAGAGGAGAATGCAGCCTCGTCGGGCCGTGAACACTGGGAAAGGTAATTGCATGTAGGGATTTCTAAATAATTGAAATTAATGAACTTAAATATGCTCTGCCCTAATCCTGTTAGATGCACAAAGTCTTAATGTCTAGGATTTGTGGGCAGACTCGCATTTAGACCCAGCAAGTACAGACTTGAAAAGTCCAGAAGTACATATCATTCCTGACACTGTGTGGTCAGAGTCAAGTTCTGAAGTATTAAAGGTACATGTAAAATTCAAGTCTATTGTTTTAAGATGGGATGTATACTGACTGCATGTTAAGAAGACTCCTAAATCAATCTCAATATTTCATCAATTCTTTCAGTCAATCTCAATTATTTGGATTTAAGACGCTGTGAATCTGTAAACATTTTGAATTAAAGTTCACAAATTCACTTTTGCCTTTTGCATCCTAGCTCAGATGCCTTCAATTTTTTGTATCACTTCCATTGGATTAATTTAACTTTCATTCTGTCATTCAAATTATTTTTGTGTGTGCCACAATGTCTCGTTTGTGTAGCTTCATCAACAAAGAAGACGCCTGTAGTAAGGACACCCAAACCGAAATCTTCCCTAACCTCTGTAAGAGGAGGAACAAGTGACAAGAATCAGAACTCACATCCAGGTACGTACGGTACTATCACCATGAAAGATCCTAGAGAACGTTTGATAATTGGTTTTCATCTGAATCTTGACTTAACTCTGTGTTTTCGGTGAGCCAATGGACTCCGTGCACAAGTACCCCCTCAATGGTTACAAAGGGAGAGTTGGGGGAGACCACTGGGAGGGACATTCGAACTCACTGCCGATGGCGCCTGATGCTCACGCAAAGATGCTACAGGCTTATGCACATCCAGAATGAGAGAAGTCGTGCGTACATTGCGCCATACACTTGCGAACCGATACGTACGTGTTCTACGTAACCCCTGAGGACCGACACACAAAGGGAGAACAACAGATCCTTTCAGTCCTCGGACATTGGGTCTTTTGTTGAAAATGGTCCTCTATTGTACTGTTATGTGCTTAGTCTATGGGAGAGTGTTATATTACAGGGACAAAGGGAAACACAAAGCAAAATTGTCCTTGAGAGTATAGTAAAAACATGACTTTACGTGCACGCAGTGTGTGTCTCCCTCTGGGGTAACAAAATTGTTTGTCGTGGTTTAAGTTGTGCATGCCTCGCATCAGAAGCATGCAGACTTATGAATCTTGTTGCCGTCACTGGAGCATTTGTTGAAAACACATCTTCTTTCTGAGTGTAACTGCATGTCCATGGCGGTTTCGGTTAATGCGATAAATTAGAATAATTTAATAAATTAGGCAACAATGTTTTGTCAGCAGGGTACACCACAGTGACTTCAATAGTTGTGCGTTCTCAATCATTTCAAACTGTCCCTGGATTTGTCTACATATCAACTTTTCTAGAGATGACAAGCCAATTAATGTATTGGGTTGATAATAATTTGACTTTTTAAAATTCCATCCATTAACAGGCATGCAAGTTGTGCTCAGATCAGCTGATTTCCTTGGTTTTTCACGTTACACAAGTCATTAAAAATTGAAGAGCACTGTCTAAAGTCTTGTAAAGCTTTGAATTTTCTCTTCCTTTGTTACTTCCCAGTTGCATACCTGCATTTAAGGCAATAAGTGTGATATTTATATCATAGTGTTGATATTGTTATTATTTCTTTTGTTGTCTTTTACATGTATTTTGGCTTTATAGTGGTGGTCTCCACTCCAGCTGATGATCACGAGCCTAGAGGTCATGACCCTGATGCAGAGACTAAGTCCATAGTTAGCCAGAGCTCTATGGATTCTCAGGGTATGTTGGGGTTTAAGGGAAACAGGTCTGATCACTGCACAATTGTGGGGCTTAAGTCCAGGACTCAGACTTGAGTCTGTCTCGAGTCGCAATTTCGTTGCCCCAGACTCGACTTTAGTCACATCAGCAAAAGACTCGGACTCAGACACAGACTCGACCATCATGACTTGGACTTGATGCTAATGACTTGTGATTTTTGCATCACATTTTAAAAAAAAATATTCTTTTAAAAACATAATTCTATTGTATATTTTTGTAAAAGTGATGTTGAAGCAATGCTAGACAGCAAACCGTACCGCACCACAGTCTAGGTGGTGTTGCAAATAAAAATGTTTGCTATTAGATGCGCTCCTCCCTACATGTACATGTACACAGTGGCAACTGACTCGTGACTCAGACTCTGACTTGAATCAAATTTCTTGAGACACGGACTCCAACTTGACCAAAGTGACTCAATACTCGGACTGTAACTCAACTGCTGATCACAAGTTCAAATGTGCTCTTCTGTCACAAGAACCAAATCCATAATATTGCTCTAGTTTCTACAAGTAAATAGATACACGTATGTGTATAGTGTCTACATTGCCATAGTGAAGAAACAAGTCGTTTGTTATTCATCTTGTATACCTCTCCTGCCTTGCTAAATTACATTATCAATTTTTTTTTCACAAAGAGGTTACAGTGAAGGAGTTGTGGCTCTCAGATTCATCAATAACAAATATTTCATGTTTGAAACACTATTCATGCAGTTCACCTACTTATTTGTATCACAGGCATTATTGGCATGGGCGTCGCCAGGACTTTTTCTAGAGGGGCAAATCACCGTGACTCACAAGAAGCCATGCGAAAAATCACTGGTTGCTAAAAAAAATAGGGGGGAGGGGGGCTTGTCTGAACATTTCTTTCTTGCGGTTTAGTGTTTAACAAACATGTACATTAAATTTACAGCATGATAATGACTTTGTCCCTCTTGTCTCCTTTTTCATTTTTGTTTTTTGGTTCGGGGTGGGGGAGGGGTGGGGATTGATTATATGCTTTAACCTGAATATTTTCTCTACATCATTTAGGTTTACTATATGCCTGGATGAATTATCAGTGTTCTAAAATTCCTTTTTTGTATTTTCTACAGATTGCGTCTTGCCTGAAAGTCACTCTGGTGCAAGTCTATCTACTGGTGCTGGTCCCCTGCCGGATGATGGAGATTTGTTGTCTCAGCACTTGCAAGGTACATGTGTGTCTATCATATGTCTCGTTACAGGGCTCTCCTGCAGTGTTAACAAGCAACCCGGTCACTGCTGCAAACCCAGCATTTGTTGCGTTCAGTGTGCTAGTCAGGGTTTCCAGACATTAATAGATGCCGTGCATGAATATACTTCTTGTATCATGTGCTTGAATTGGATACTGTAATTTCATTGGTCTAGAAAGGCCATGTGTCCAGTCTGTAAAAATAACCGATTACTTCATATACATGTACACTGCATTCCATATAAGTGAACCTCATATACACTGCGTTCCATATAAATGAACCTCATATATAAGTAACTGTGCTGCATATAAATTGTGCACACTTTATGCACCCTTTGGGCAGTGGCGTAACTAAGGTTAAACTTCTTGGGGGCACCTAGGGGTGCACCAGTTTTTCAAGGGGAGCACTGAAGGCAAGTGATATATTGTTTTTGTGCAATTCAAAATTTTATTCGGGGGGCATGTGTCAAGTGACACATTTTTTGGAAATTTCCATTTGTAGTTGGGCAAATCCGTGAATGAGTGCAAGCGTTGACACGACGCACACGACGCACACGCGTTAACGACTGGTATTATCAGTGTGGGACATCACGAAACTACAATCCGCTAAATGAGAATCATGTCCCCAATACTGATTTCGGGATTGTGCCACAAGAGGGCGCAATTCAGAATATGACTCGGCAACTTTTGAATTAAAATTGAGATGCAGAATATTGTGTTTTTTCAAAATATACAGCAATTTCATCAGGTTAGTTGTTGAGCACCCGCCTTTAGATTTTGAGAAATGTTGTTGCTTCAAACAAACAAAATGCACAAATGGCAAAGGGTCCATTCTACCCTTAAATCAAGTTAAGAGCCCTTCAAAGGAACTGTGACATCAGCGTTCCTTTGTTACTGTGCCATCCCTGGTACTTGCGCCTGGACTTGTGAGAAGGTACTTGTTATATACTTTTGACCCGATGGACTATTAAAGGGAATGTACATCATTGGCTTTTGCTGTAATTTTCAGAAATGAACTATTTGAGGGGTTAGTATAATAGATCAAATATTGTTACACTGACATTTTTGTAGTTTGTGTTCGAAAAGGTTGGAAAAACCAAGAAAAACAAAAATGTTCAAGTAGTCTGGTTCCCTGACTCCACAAAAGATAAAATGGATTAATTTATAGATGATGGAAAATTGTAAGGCAAAGGAACCAGTCTAGCTGGCCTGCACACGTTCATGAACATGTAACCAATACCAAACAAAATTTAGACTGAAAAAATTGTAAATTTGGAGCAGTAGTTGAAAAATAGTTAGGTTTTTCCAACGCTGGTCGGCCGACCACCATTGGAAATGTATACAAAAATACAATTTTCTTGAAAATGACTTCACACCAGGTGACATAATTTACAAGATGCTTGAGACTGTCATTTACCAACATCCTGGTAAGGTATTTCGTAAAAACTTTCGTTTTATTTTTCGATGTTTGCAAATCATATTCCCTTTAACCTCAACACTGTCACAGATGAATGTATACATTTGCATATATGTAATCCAGAAGTACATTCTCAATCTTTGGTCCAGAAGTTGAGAAGGCCAACAATCCGACACTAGAAGGCATCTCACCGGTCCCCCCAGATGGCGTCCCAACAGAAGGGGCGGAGCCAGCTCCTCCTGAGAGGGAGGAAGATGGGGAGAAGTCGACCTTTACGATACGGGGACAGGAGGTTTCGTACTTCAAACCAGATGCATATGTTGGGAAAGAGATGTCGACAGACGCACCGAGTCAAACTCTGGAGCTAAATTGGATGTAAGAATTTTGTTCCTCTTTAAAAAAAATAATCCAGCTTAAACATTTGCAGGTTTGCCTGGTGGAAAATGTTGAGTAAGGGCCGGTGATTCACTGTTGATTCAGTACATGACAGAAAGTCAGTGAGCAAAGTTCATGCAGGGATGTTGTCAGTGAGCAAAATTTTGGATTCATGATTTGAGCAGAAAACCCCTACACTGAAGAATGTCTGCCTCAGCTGACATCCGCAACAGCACCTAAGTTCAGTTGGCAGGAAAAGCATGGAACATTAATGTTTAATTAAAAGGGGCACTTAAAATTTTAATGAAAAAGGTATGTCTTGTAGTTTTCATACATTTCAGAGGATATTTACACAAAATATGTCCAAGTGTAAAATTCATGTCCTGACCCTTTAAACCAAAACCGAGTGCACCTTGTTTTAAGCTGTAGTATGCATTTATTGCATGATTGTGATTAATATTGCCATGGTTTTTCGCAAATTTTGTTTGTGCTAGATATGGCTACCGTGGAAATGACTGTCGATGCAACATGTTTGTCATCGAAGGTGGCGTCCTAGCATACTTCATAGGAAAGGTGGTGGTTTTGTATAACACAGAGGAGCATACGCAGAGGCACTACACACTACATACTGCAGAAATCAAAAGGTAAATAACACAATCAATATATGTTGCTTCGTAGGCTCCCATCCTGCCAAAAGCAGGAGTGACAATTCTGGTTCCAAGTTTGGAATCAATTTGATTTGATTTTTGTACATATTGGCTTACATGATGCAATTTGAATGGTTTTCTGTGGTTGTTTCACAGTCTGGCCGTTCACAGTAGCAATGTTATCTTGGCTTCCGGGCAGATGGCTGGGCCAGAAGGTTCAAGTATACAGGTAAGATGCACAACAATATATATCCGATGCCAATGTGAATAAGGCATTCAAATTGGTACATGGGCGCTTGGGGCGAACAAGAAAGGATTTTATATTGCCACTTTCGAAAGCCCAGTTGACCGCGCGCACATACCGGTATGCACACGTGTAGCGTGAAGTACACTTATTTTATTCTGAGTGTGAACAAAGCGATTGCGCGTTCGCGTGAGCGTTAGGTGTCGTCAGCAATGCGTTCGAATCTCTCTCCCAGTGGTCTCCCCCAATTCTTCCTTTCCTACTGTTAAAGATATAGTCCATCATTTGTAATTGGTGCATTTTGTTCGTTTGAAGCAAAAAAAGTGTTCAAAATCTAATGAAGGATACTGAACAACTAACCTGATGAAGTTTCAGCTCAGCTTCAGCTGTATATTCCGAGAAAAACAGCATTTTAGGATCTCAATTTCAAATCAAAAGTTGCTGAATCATGTTTTCAGTTGTTTTGAATTGCAGCTATACGCGATGTCGCGCACTGATCCGATGAATTATAGCAACCGCGTGCGTGTGCGTGGTGCCAATGCTTGTGCGTGCTTCGCCGAATAACAAAACGAACTACTAATTTAAATTTCCTATGGTGCATCTTAAGATGCACCGTTGGAAAGGCCTTCTTTCGTTGATTACCTCATAATGACAGCTTGCCAGAAAGAATAATTTCACAGGGAGTTTAGTCCACTTACTATCTTTCAACCAAGTATGTTTTTCAACAATAATTACGCCAGTTACTTTTCGGATGGCTGCAAATGATGGACTATAGCTTTAAAGGGGGTATGTACTTATGCACGGAGCCCATATTTAGAACGCATACATAAACAAACAAATAATCTCAAATGATTCTTCAAAATAAAGATCACGGAATGTGATCCATGAAATGCCAGTGGAGGCTGAATTTCTATACTTTTTAGTGTTGATAATGAACTTCAACTTGAATTTGAATTTTTTTGTTGGCAGGCCTGTATACATGTGTGGAGTGCAGAGACACTGGAGACCTTGTACGTGGCAGGAGAGGGTTACTTTGAGAAAGCTGTGCTGTGTCTGAGCTTCTGCAAAGAAGAGGTGCAAATCTCTAGCATTAACTGTGTTAACAACTTTCCCCTTCACAGCAGAAATATTAAAAACACATATATTTTTAACTGTGGAAATTCATTGATAGCAATTACAGTAGCAATTACTTATTTAGATTAAATAATGGCAATTTTATTTCATTGATAGAATTTCTGGAAATTAAAGGAAAATATACATCAGTTATCCTTCACAACCAGCTCAATTTGAAACGTTCTATGAATTCAAAGTATTTGTTGTTTTTTATTTTGTTGAAACAGGCCCTCACTAAAGATATAACTTACAAGTCATTTTCACGTCAGTGTTGTAGTCAAGTCTAGTACAAGTCTGGTCACAAGTATTAAATCACAAGTCAGTTTACTGGTCCAGACACAAGTAACTGGGAATGAACAACAACAAAGGAATGCCTTTGTCACATGTTTGTGACTTGATGAATGACTTGTGATTGAATTGTGAGGACTTGTGAGGACTTGTGATTGACTTGTGAGGACTTGTGATTGACTTGTGGGGACTTGTGATTGACTTGTGAGGACTTGTGATGGACTTGTGATTGACTTGTGAGGACTTGTGATTGACTTGTGATTGACTTGTGGGGACTTGTGAAGACTTGTGATTGACTTGTGACTGACTTGTGATTGACTTGTGACTGACTTGTGAGGACTTGTGATTGACTTTGGGGACTTGTGATTGACTTATGACTGACTTGTGACTGACTTGTGATTGACTTGTGACTGACTTGTGAGGACTTGTGACTGACTTGTGAGGACTTGTGATTGACTTGAGGGGACTTGTGATTGACTTGTGATTGACTTGTGAGGACTTGTGATTGACTTGTGATTGACTTGTGAGGACTTGTGATTGACTTGTTGGGACTTGTGATTGACTTTTGGGGACTTGTGATTGACTTGTGGTTGACTTGTGATTGACTTGTGAGGACTTGTGATTGACTTGGGTGTAGACATTCAACTTTCTACTTCAGAATGGAAAAAAAAACACCAAAAGTTAGAGCCATTTGAACTGTTTATCTGATTTTGCACAGAAATACACTCTTTTGTATCCTCTTGTGCATTTACTGATATGAAAAATGTTTCTTTCTTTGTATATAGGATTATCTTGTAGCTGTTGATGACAGTGAAGAACACACCATGTCTGTGTGGCACAGCACGTCTGGAGAGAGACTTGCCGAGAAAATGGTGGGTTTTGATAATTGTTTAAAAAGTCACAAATCTGCCTTGTCCATCCCTGCTAAAAAAGTGCTGCAAAACAAAAAGCCATAGGGAGCATCATCTACAAACCCATTTAAGTGACATCCCCAAAGCATCTGTTTCATCCCATGTCTATTTCATTACTTTTTCAGTTGCCATACACACCCACGCACTGTATGTGCAACATAGCTTATTTGGTCCAATAAACTTTTAACTGACCAAGCTCAGTCGATTGCAACCACAGTGGCAAGAACAGGCAGTGGCAAGAACAGGCGGTGTCAAGAAAGATTTTGTCCCGTAGGCGAGGAATAAAAAACAAAAACAAATGGGGTTGGCACCAGACTGACTCAAGTCAAGTCATTGACTCAAGTCACCGACTCTAGTCACTGACTCAAGTCATGGACTCAAGTCATTCACTGACTCTAGTCACTGACTTAAGTCATTAACTCAAGTCACTGACTCAAGTCATTAACTCAAGTCATTGACTCAAGTCGCCGACTCAAGTCACCGACTCTAGTCACTGACTTAAGTCATGGACTCAGGTCATTCACTGACTCTAGTCACTGACTTAAGTCATTAACTCAAGTCACTGACTCAAGTCATTAACTCAAGTCACTGACTCAAGTCATTAACTCAAGTCACTGACTCAAGTCACCGACTCAAGTCACCGACTCAAGTCACCGACTCAAGTCACCGACTCTAGTCACTGACTCAAGTCACCGACTCAAGTCACCGACTCAAGTCACCGACTCTAGTCACCGACTTAAGTCACTGACTCAAGTCACTGACTCAAGTCACTGACTCAAGTCACTGACTCAAGTCTCTCGACTCAAGTCACTGACTCAAGTCACTGACTCAAGTCTCTCGACTCAAAGCACTGCCTCAAGTCATTGACTCGATCAAGTCACTAACTCAAGTCATTGACTCGAGTCACTGACTCAAGTCACTGACTCAAGTCACTGACTCAAGTCACTGACTCAAGTCACTGACTCAAGTCACTGACTCAAGTCACTGACTCAAGTCTCTCGACTCAAAGCACTGCCTCAAGTCATTGACTCGATCAAGTCACTAACTCAAGTCACTGACTCAAGTCTCTTGACACAAAGCACTGCCTCAAGTCATTGACTCGATCGAGTCACTAACTCAAGTCACTGACTCGAGTCACTGACTGAAGTATCTTGACTCAAAGCACTGACTCAAGTCATTGACTCGATCGAGTCACTAACTCAAGTCACTGACTCAAGTCACTGACTCAAAGCAATGACTCAAAGCAGTGACTCAAAGCACTGCCTCAAGTCATTGACTCGATCGAGTCACTAACTCAAGTCACTGACTCAAGTCACTGACTCAAAGCAATGACTCAAGTCACTGACTCAAAGCACTGCCTCAAGTCATTGACTCGATCGAGTCACTAACTCAAGTCACTAACTCGAGTCATGGACTCAGGTGATTCATTGACTCAAGTCACTGACTCAAGTCACTGACTCAAGTCACTGACTCAAGTCACTGACTCAAGTCACGGACTCAAGTCTCTCGACTCAAAGCACTGCCTCAAGTCATTGACTCGATCAAGTCACTAACTCAAGTCATTGACTCGAGTCACTGACTCAAGTCTCTTGACACAAAGCACTGCCTCAAGTCATTGACTCGATCGAGTCACTAACTCAAGTCACTGACTCGAGTCACTGACTGAAGTATCTTGACTCAAAGCACTGACTCAAGTCATTGACTCGATCGAGTCACTAACTCAAGTCACTGACTCAAGTCACTGACTCAAAGCAATGACTCAAAGCAGTGACTCAAAGCACTGCCTCAAGTCATTGACTCGATCGAGTCACTAACTCAAGTCACTAACTGGAGTCACTGACTCAAGTCTTTTGACTCAAAGCACTGACTCAAGTCATTGACTCAATTGAGTCACTGACTCAAGTCATTGACTCGAGTCACTGACTCAAGTCCTAGAGCTCTGAGTTCAGTGTTCATACCTTGTTTCGGTTTGTAGCTTCTGACGGAAGTTGTTTGCCAGGTAGCCTTCCATCCCACCCACCCGCATCAGCTGGTCAGCATCGGCAAGGAACACCTGTGCTTCTGGAACCTGCAGAAAGAACCTTACACTATCGAGGAAACGATGATAGCTAACTACGAGGTCAGTGTGCGAGGAATATTATGTGTAACTGCAAGATGCCGCTGGCACAACTTGTTTCAGAGCCTGTTCCCATGCAATGATCAGAACTTTCATATATAAAATGTTGTTTTACAGGGATGTATTGTAATATAAGTCCTCCTGTTATTGACTGATTTCAAGATTTTTCAAAATTTAAATAGCAAGGTATTGTCACCATACATGGATACTTTTCCTTTACACCTCACATTTCTGGTAAAAAATATTAGAGTCTACCTACATTCATGTTCTTACAGCCAGCAACCGAAAAGCCACAATTCAAAGTATGGGTTGATTACCAGAGTGCATATGATTGGGAAAACTTGTTTCACACATTTCTTTGACAACCAACTGCATTAGTATGTGGGGGAAACTAGGAATTAAGATACTGAGATAAAATATTATAACAAATGGACGTGTTTATTTGCCACTCACCATTTACTTATTACATATCAAATCTCGTATTGATCACTCAATGGTTTCATGACATTAGGCTATTTTGCAAAGTTCAGGTAACATGGCATACTTATATTGAGGCGACAGTGGCATAGTTTCTGCTTGATTTTAGCAATAATTTGCCATTGCAAGTGAATTTAAAGATATAGTCCATCATTTGTAATTTGTGCATTTTGTTCGTTTGAAGCAACAAAAGTGTTCAAAACCTAATGAAGGATACTGAACAACTAACCTGATGAAGTTTCAGCTCAGCTTCAGCTGTATATTCCGAGAAAAACAGCATTCTAGGATCTCAATTTCAAATCAAAAGTTGCTGAATCATGTTTTGAATTGTTTTGAATTGCACCTATACGCGATGTCGAGCACTGATCCGACGAATTATAGCAACCATGCATGCCTGTGCGTTGTGCCAATGCTTGCGCGCGCTGCGCCAAATAACAAAACGAACTACTAATTTAAATTTTCCTACGGTGCGTCTTAAGACGCACTGTTGGAAAGGCCTTCTTTCGTGGATTACTTCAAAATGATAGCTTGCCAGAAAGATTAATTTCACAGGGAGTTTAGTCCACTTACTATCTTTCAACCAAGTACGTTTTTCAACAATAATACGCCAGTTACTTTTTCGGATGGCTGCAAATGATGGACTATAGCTTTAAAAGGTCAATTGAATTTCTACATCAGTTTTTTACAACAATAGTGTACTTAATCTGTGAGGAAATTTGTACTAAATGCTTAATTAATGTAAAAGAGGTTTCAGAAATTACAAATTAAATTCAGTAAATCGCTGTTACTTTTTTTTTATCCTCAGACCAAAATGAAAGCCAAATACATCATCTGCCTCACATTCCACCCCAACGGTGCCCTCCTGACGGGGGATTCAAACGGAACCATCTACCTGTGGCATAAAGACGGCAACACCATTGCTCACAGCATAACTCATGCGCACGATGTAAGTATGTATGGGTTCTGTAAATGATGCATAAATGACACAGGAGTGCTTACTACATGTTTATTGCATACACACAGGGATGTTCAACCATGGCCCCAACATAGTTTCCCAACATAGGCAAGGGCGGATCCAGGGGGGGGGGGGGGCCAAAGGGGGCCATGGCCCCCCCCCCCAAAAAAAACCCGAAACCAATTGGTTTTTTTTATGTGATGTCGCAATAAAGGCAGGCAATGAGTACACCACCATCTTTTCCTCAAAAAACATTGGCTAAAGTGGTCAGAAATTGCCTCAGATCGCACCACAGAGCATCGAGAATCCAAAAAATTTTCGGGGCCCTTAAGCGGGCCCCGAACCCCACGCCGTAATTTTTTAACCCACTTTTTGGGAGACACAATTTTTTTTTGGCCCCCCCCCCCAAAAAAAATTGTGTTCTGGATCCGCCCTTGCACATAGGTCCCCAACAAAGAGAGAAAAGTGCATTTTTGCAATATAGGGCTCTCTCACTTATACCCATGTGATCTGGCCAACATCCGGGTACCGGAAAGTAAGCATCGCCATTGTAGTAGGCAAAGATTGTAAAGTGCCATGCACAGTAGAAGGTAGGCTGTGATGGATGGCAAAAACTGTGAGCAAACTGCAGAGCCAACACCCAGTGCTGGGTCGGCACGATTGTCACAACTGTACATGGCACAGGTAGTGGCCATTATGCCATTTAGTAAAGAATTTGCAGTTATTTGACATGAGAATAAGCCATACTGTCTAGTTTACAGTGCTGGATGTGGTTGCTATAAGTACTTGACTACTGCAATGGTGGCCGATCATGGGAACACTGGATAGTCACGTGGTACTTTGATGTCATACGATCAGAACCTATTGAATGTAACTGCAGATGAGGTTCATGAAATCATGATGAGAATATTATCAGTTTAAGAAGAATTTGTTTTTAATTTTAATAGTGGATGTCCGAGGCATATCAAAGGTGATTTGAATCACCATAAATGGAACTTACATAGACTCAAGTCCTTGTTTTAAATTAAATAAAACAAACCTGAATTTGGTTTTCTAATTTGGTTTATCGTTAGGGTCCTGTGTTTTGGTTGATGTACGTCAAGAATGCACTGATCTCTGGAGGGCGTGACGGGATCATACAGACCTATTCCCTGAGCTCCAAGGGAACTGAATACACCGGGAAAATGCAGGTTTGTTGACATTCATTTTGTGGAGTTGAAATCGAGTCAATCACAGGTCAATCACCAGTTGGTCATATGTCCGATCACAATTTACGTCACTGGTAACCATCGTAAAATTGTACGCACAAAGTCAATAGCTGTCTCCCGCCTGCCAATTGTTAGTATGATTCCAAATTCCTCTTTTCTTGAGAATGACAGCATACCAGTTGCAACAAGTATTATTTACTTTCAATCAAGTTGTTCGCAAGTGGTATCCAATACCTTTAACCAGTTCATGCCGGACGCCGTGATAACACGCACTGACTGTTTTTGTACCCAGGCACACTCACACTGCCCGATTAAGACATCAAGATTGCCTTGACTCGCCTTCTGGGTGACGTCTAAACATGCTTATCCCTCGTGCATTTTGTACACGCACACAAAGTCTGTGTTGTCTGTGGAGGCGGACCGTGTGCTGACCGTTGTGTTGGCCATTGTGCACAGCCTATTGTTGTACAATTTACACTCCAATGCACACCCCAGAGTATTGAAACATATGAGGTTTCGGAAAGAAATATCTTACAAATACTGTTGAAATCATTGTGGCGTTTGGCTGTATATCAGAAGTTGACTGGAAAATTTTGCCTTTTGTAAATTTCGAAATTTTAACCCAAAATTAACCCGGCGCGAAGTGGTTAAGCTGTACAGTGTGAGCCATAAACATTTTTGATGTTGCATTGTTAAGATATTAACTTTTTATTACTTTGTTTTATATCTCTTGCAGTTACCCAGTGTGGAAGGCGGCGTGCGCACTATCCAGATACATGGGAAGAAGATGTACGTCGGGACCACATTGAATTGCATCCTGAGTGCAAACATCAGCTTATCTGGGAGTGGCACCCCTGTTATCACTGGAGCAACAATCAACAATGCGCCAATCACACAGGTGAAAAATCCAGGTTGTATGGACATTCGCATCAAATGTTAAGGTCCGTCTTGAAAGAATACTTGTTACAATAGGTGTCTCTCCACCCCAGGCCCCCCCCCCCCTCCCAAGAAGCTCTCAAGAATAATCAAGAGCGAAGCCTGGCACCGTCCGCTGCTGATGCACAGGGTCCATCTCATTGTTGTCCTCCTTTCGTTGCTGAAATTCAAATCTTGAGTGCCGTCCTACCATTTGACCCAAATTGACTTGTCTTTCCAGGGTCACTATGACGAGGTAAGGTGCATCGTCCCTCATCCGGCCAAAAACGGCCACTTCTTCACCGCTGCCTACGACGGCATCGTCTGCTTATACGACGCCGCTCTCCACAAAGCAATCTGGAAGTATGTGGTCAAGGGCATCAACACAACGTGCATGGACGTCAGTCCCGACGGAGAGGTCATCATATTAGGGGCCAAAGATGGACAGTGAGTTTTCATGTCTACAGTGTTGTCTCTGGTTTTTTTCGTTGTGATGTGAGTTTTTGCTGTGCCCCAAATGTATTTCCAGTTTCCAAAACTAATTAGCTTTCCTCCAGGATTTAAACCCTGTCCCTGTACCATCTAAAACCACCCTGCCCGTTACACCCTTTACCACCTTCAACTAACCTAGCACTCTGTGGCTTCATTGATGCAACACAATATAGTACAATGTAATACAAGTGCTAAAGGGTTGACGGCCTAATTTCATTAAGTGTAAATTTGAAGTTCCACCATGTGGAAGTAAATCTGTTCCCCTGGTTCCCACCATTTCTTCTCAGATACTAACTCACAAAAGAGATTTACTTTCACATGTTGCTACAACGCGTTTTGCTCGACATCGAGCAGTACGCGCGACGCGCACGCCAATGTCCTTATAAGGTAACGAGTTGTGGAGGGGCATTCCGTATTATAGTCAGAGGGGTGTTTCGTAAAACATGAAGTAAAATTGTTGAACAAAATGATTGGCAGTCTCTAGTTTTTGTCTTTTTTTGATTTTTTGACCAAAAAAAACCCAATTGTTTTTTGACCGAATAAATAAATATGTGTTCGGTCGGTATTAAACACTCCGTTTAAGACTGGTGGGAGTCTTGATGGAATTTTGTCAATTTTTGATTTATTTTGACTTTTTGGCCAAAAGGTATTTGTGAAAGGGTTTGGCTCGGGCCATTTTCGGTGGCCAGATCGACCCTTTGCCAGTAAACCGGCCAGGCACACATTTGTTTCCTAAGTATTATTGTGTGAGTTGGGGGTGAGATTTGTGGGGATTTTTTGTTCGGATTTCAGGATATTTAAAGAATGCCTCTGAAATTTGGACATTTTTTTGGTTGTGGTTGCTTTTTGAGGGTGCTTTTAGGCAAATACAAACATATACCTTTGCCAATTATTTCATGGATTTGTTCAGTTTCCCCCAAACTTGCCCCTGGATAGTACTGTTGGTGGCATGCCAGTCATTAACCCAAAAAAAACCCTCTTCCACAAAAAGTAAATTTATAACATCATATATTATCTTCCACATGTCTTTCCATACAAAAATGTACCCAAAACTGTATAAACAAATCCTATAAAAAAAGATACTTGTCGTGCAATTTATGGTGGTTGGCCAAAACATCCCTGTGGTCAGCAAATGTTTGTAGCTCAAATGAAATCAACAGTAGAAAGGCATTTGGGAGAACAAGTGACATACAGGGTGGTGCAAAAAGAAGAAACCCTCTTTTGACAGCAATTTTCACCTGCTTGTTGAGAATTTTTCAAAAATTCAATCATGTGGTGTCAAAATATTGATCTTTATAAACATAAGTGCAAAAATGTATTGCCAATGCATGTTTTGTCTCTGAGATATGGTAGTTTAAAAATGTCATGTGCCAAACCTGTTTTTCTATGGACGGCTATATCCATCCGCTTGATTGAGCTCCGGAGCTTGATTTGAAGGCTGAAAAAAAAAACCACTACACTAGACTTACACGTGGACAACAGTGATTTTGGTGACTTATATTAAAATTAGCATAATAATTTATTGGGATTTGTTCATCGTGTATATGGTTGAGGAGCTATACTTCATTAGTTTATAAAAGAAACCAGTTCAAATAAGTTAAGTAGGTTAAAATTCCTGTCAAAGTGGGTTTCATTCTTTTTGCACCAACCGGTATTTGTATCTGGGCGTCATTCTGTAAATTAAGGGTCCAAAGTGTGACATTTTTCGCTGTAACCTTGATACTTTGTAATTTGCCATTCAAGTAAAATTAAGAATGACTCAAATCATTTTTTTTGTATTTGTTGGGTAGGTAGTTTGCTATTCATAATCACTCTAGGTGGACGACTGCATTAAGGAGTGCATTGGAATTATAAAATCGCAAATGTCAGATGAAACAGGGACAGGAAAAACAAGCGGACCCCAAATTTATAGAATGACCCATCTGCAGCATGATTGACACACACTCTTAACTTGTGTTTGCTGTGCCCTTTTTTTATAACCTCCCCGCATCTCTCCTTCTCCTCCCTATACACCATTTATGCACCTCCTTCCCTGCCTTGTTGCCGTGGTGATTTCACTGCATGACATGATTTGCATGGTTTCCCATCAAATGACCAGTAAAGGAAACAGGTAAACACCAATGATTCCCAATTTTCCTCTTTCTTCTTTTTTTTTATTTCACTGCACACAATTTCAGTTTTATCTCAATAAGGCCCCCCAAAAAACACCCTCGGTCTCTGGTCAGCGTGCGCGTCGATTTTAATCATGCGCGTCAACCTTTTTTTTCTTCTTCAAATTAACACGGAAGCTACAACAGCGCCCTCTATTGCCGCACCTCCTCAAATTGTTGTACCAAGGAGCACCAAGGAATGGGGAAATTGCACCAAGGCAAATGATAAAGGGCACCAAGGCAAATTATGGAGGACACCAATGTATAATGAGGACACAAAAAAGCAAAATAGTACCCACCTTGTCTGTACAATTCAAGCTTGAAAAAAAAAAAAAAAAAAAAAAAAAAACGCGTCGCCGCATCAATTCCGGAACTTCGGTCTGACCAGAGACCGATTATTTTTTTTTTTGGCCTAATGATGACTTTTTTTTTGTGTTTTGCATTATTTTTTTAATGGCACTCACTATAATTCAGAACCTGCTGTTACTGATACATTTTGTGTAGTCTACAGAAGGCAACCTTCAACCACTCATCAACTGTGACCTTTCACCAAAAAAATTAACATATCTTCTGACTTTTTACAAATTTAGATGTTTGTATTTCTGCATTCTGCAGAGCAAGAGTTTTCTTGTGGTTTATAACATGTGGAGGTACTGAGTTCATTTATGGGAATATCATTGAGCCTTTTTGTAAAACTGAAGGGAATTTCTGACCAAAAAAAACTGGCAAAAGTTTTGACCATTTTTTTTTATCTGGACAGCATCTGACCATTATGGGCACTGTTTGTAGCAGACAAGACTGGACATTATAAGACAATAGGTGGTGCTCTACCTTACGGCATTTGATGCTGACAGACACGTGATTTTGCTTGTAAATGAATTATATTGATAAAATCAGTTGCATTGTCCATACCTATTTTTCAAAAGAAAGAAGTAGAATTAAAAAAAAACCAGAAAAACTCTCTTCACTGTGTTTATCATACAAGGAACGGAAAACGCAACTTTCCAACACTATTTGTTTTGATAGCATGGCTGTTCTGACAGTAGGAGAGGAGGAGGTTCAGGAGACAAACCGTATCAAACTCGGCCGGCAGCTTGTGTCATTCATTAAGTTTGCCCCAGGTAAGTCCAAACCAGCCCCCCACCACTTCCCATTGACATCTCTGCACTGATGCCACACCCCCAAAGTGGTATTATTCAAATTAACAGGAACAAAGCTTAAGCATGTTATACAAAACAAATTATGTACATGTACATGCTCAAAACAAAACACTTTAGTGTCTTGTTCAAGAACTCATCAAGCACCACATTTCGCAGGCCTGCAACAACTTCCATCCATAAGCTGAATTCTTGAAGCTCCAACCGTACTTTTGAACATATTCCAGTTTTTCCTCTCAAGACTTGGCAGTTATGTATGCAGTTTTATCTTCAAGCAAACTTGTATCCTCGATCCTGAATGGTCGATCCATCACCCATGGAAACAACAGGGTGATATCGCACGGTCCATATCGCACCCTGCATTTTGCGCCAGATTTGAGACATTCCAGCTGCATGTGCTAAACCGCTGAAAGTTTCGCGTAAAGCATGCTAGTTCCAACTTTACTGTTCGTCAAGTTTGCTTGAGGATAAATTTGTTATTGCGCTCGCGGAACACTGAAAATGTAGTGTGTCCGTGTCTCACATACCACGAGGCCAAAAGTGGGACACAGACGCAACTACATTATACTGTGTTCTACTCGGATAACTTATAATGTAGTATGTTTTATTTAAAGTTGACAAAAAAGGGTATTTTATTTTCTATTTTGGATGTTTTCAACCCTAAAAGACGCTTTTGTTTTGAATTGCTCTTGAGGCCATAACGCACAGAAGATTGATTGTCTGGCCACAAATAATTCTAAGTTATTCAATATCTAAATGTGGGCAGATATTTTTGTTCAGTGTCTCATACAAAAGTGTTGCTGCAAAAATAGCAATTTAACACTAAAATCTCTTTTTCGGGTGAAACTTAAAAAATAGAACGGGAAGAGCAACTTTAAGCCTATCGATAAGCTAACGAGACAATTAACAATAACTTTGTGAAACTGTTTGGCTGCCTCCCTTGACTAGGTGGAGAAATCTTTGCTGCCAGCTGTAATGACATCATCCTCATCCTGAAAACGACCAATGCGGGGAAAACAATTGAGCCAATGGGAAAGTGCGAGGGTCACCCGACTGCTGTGACAGGATTTGATTGGTCGAAAGAAGAGATATCTGGCAGGCTTGTTCTGCAGAGTAGTTCAGTGGGCCAGGAGTACATATGCTGTGAGTTGGTTTGACTTTGAGGTTGGAGTTTTTGCATGAATGACTCGTCAATCATATACAGCGCTTAAAACGCAAAACAGCGGTTTAAGGCATTTAAGGTGTGGTGTCACACATCCCATACGCTAATAATAATATGGCAGAAAAGAGGTTATTTTAGCAGAGATTCGTAACATTTTCAGTATTTTCTTTGATGGTCTCTGTCAAATAGAAGCAGAAAATTGCAATAGCAGAAAAAAATTATTGGAAATTAGTGTACATAACGTTGCCATGAGATTACTCCAAAAGGCATTGTAGATCGTAGTGAATGACACATATTAGGTTGCTCACAGTAAAGCTTCAATTTAATACATCTTCTCAGGGGACTGTGAAACTTTCCAAGCCCTAAACTACTCATCTGACTTCAGGAACATCGCATGGAGATCGTACAACTGTACCTCTGGGTTCACTGTTGCCGGTAAGTAAGACTTTAAAGGCAATATTAGACACCATTGGCAAAAACTGATGTTTTTCCTGATTCAAGGAACAACACTACAATGCATCTGAAATGGGTTATTTAAAAACTAACCTGCCGAAATTTCAGCTCAGTAGATATCATGCTTTTTGAGAAAACTGTGAAAATGCGTCCTTATTTCTCTCGACGCAAAGCAAGGTTCATGTTGGTCACTTTGGAACACAATTCGAATTAACGGCTATGTTACCAATTGTAAACCAAACTAAATTTGATCAGTTGGGAGCAGTATTTGAGAAAAAAATATATATTTTTCCTCGCAATGGTTTGGTACTAACTATCCCAACGAAGTGATGCTAATTCCTCTTTTCTTGAATATGACAAATACTAGGCGCAACGATTTCACAGAATGCTTGATCTTATAATTTACTTAAAATCAAGCAGGATAATTCATAAAGTTGTGGCAGTTTCATTTTTGAATGTGGGCATATGGTGTCCATTAGCTAATATAAATAGCACTTTAGTGGCCATGTTTCCAAACTTTTAGTTATTTCGGCATCAGTGTACAAGAGACCTTTCTCTGACCAGTGTGCAAATTCAGTAATTGTTATTTTTGCTGCATCCAAATTGGCCTGCGACTTTCCAGTGTTTAATTTTCATGTCTTGATTTGCAGTATTGTCTTTTGAATTTCATTGCCATTTTTCAGTTGAAACGATTTGATTTTTCTGGCCTTCTGTTTACCTCAGAATTGTTTTGTGTATATAAACTGTCACATTTGATCCCAAATTTTAAGCAATTTATTGCTCTTGCAGTTTATTTCTTCAACTTGTTGACAGCTTTTGTTCACGTGTCTTGTCAATGAATTTGTTCCAGGTGTGTGGGGAACCAGTGAAGACAGCCATGTCATTAGTAGTGTTGACTGGAGCGAGGACCAGGGACTGTTGGCCACAGGTTGCGATGACGGCCTAGTGACACTGTATCGGTATCCCTGTACCAACCAGCTTGTAAGTCTGCCCTTGCTAACTTGCATTGATAACCATAGTCCAAAACCCTGCCCTTTGACTCCCAAATTCCAAAATACATAGATACATGTATTGTAACATCAAGTATATGTTTATCCTTTGAAAAGAGAGTATCGTAATTTATTGGGGAGGTTGTAGGCCCTATAGCTCACATAACAATTTTATTTGTCTATATTTTTTTTTTGAAGGCCGGGACTGGGGAACACATAGTACCATATTTTATCTGTAGTTTATCAACAAATGTTCTTCTTCCCTTACAGGCTGCCAATAGGAGTGTCCACGCCCACAGCAAGGCTGCACCCTGTGTGCGATTCCTGCCTAACGCCAAGTTGCTGCTCTCTGCAGGCGGTTCCGACTGCACAACCATGCAATGGACCCTACAAGGATAAACGTCCACTTTTTGGGCCTGCATACGTTATGAGTTCACCTTTGCACGTGCCTTCGTGAATGAAGGACTGGTACCAAATTGGTTCGGAAGAAAACAATCATTGGAGGTGGTTTAAGAAAGTTTTCAAGATGTGTACTCCACTTAGCTGAACCTTTAACAAGTTAGCTGTTATGCCGCCATCTTAAGATTTTGAGCAAGTTTGTTGCTTCAAACAACAATACCTTAACCGGCCCACTATGAACATCTTCATCCCTTAAAAATTTGTGAAAGAGCCATATGCATTTTCTCTTAATATTACAGTTAACTAAATTTTCACGGATTTTTCAACATATTAAGCCAGATTAGGAGTCCTCGAAAACACCCTTAAGAAAGTCCTTTGTTTACCCATGGAGATAGACCCAGTGTACCGTTAAGTATAACCAATGATAATCCTCAGTGGCCAGGGTCATTAAAAAAACGAGAAAATACCCTTACAGGATTAGTCCTATATAAGCCCCATGTAAATGTCCGTGAAACATCTCTTAAAGATTCTTTTCACGGAGAAATGGACTTTTAATGAATTTTTAAGGGATGAAGATGCTCATAACAGTCCTGAACTCTCCAATTTCAATATGATTTTGCACACCCCCTACTAACACACAGAAATTTGTGACCAAACCCAACCAGAATAATTCAGTCACAAGTTGTGTGCTTTTAAAACAATCTAACCTTATGAAGTCAACTGGAATTTCTGAATTTTATTATCCTCATTATAGCTGGACAACCATTTTGGGAACTGTTCGATGATTTATAGACACTATCAGAAAATAGATGGCGCCACTCGTTGCGAAATTATATTGGCCGACAGACACACGATTGTGCCGACAGGATTTCAACTTTGCCAACAAAAAAAGAGATTAATTTAGGGGTGCCCAACCCTCACAAAGTGAAAGGAAGTGAATGTGAACCTGTTGGAAGCTAGGCTTGATAGACATGGTATCCTTTGACATGCCGTGAATCCTCTTTTAAAAGAAAACCCGACCAGCAGCCGGGTAATTCATCAAGACTGTACCAGGGTTTGGGATCTCTCTTATCTCAAGTTTTATTTACTTAGGGCAGTTTAGCACCAGATGAATGCCTACCACCAGTATTGCTTGACTTAACGACTTGTTTGGCACGCCTGAATCATTCTTCAGTGGCCTTAACCCACCTAGATATTTCATAAATTAAATCTCAAATGTAATATTTGTTTTTGTCAGGTAATGAAACCATGTTTTCTTTCTTTGCACAAACAACGGAAATCATTTTCTCGGACTGTGCATGTACCCAGCAGGAAGTAAACTGTACTGTTTGTGGACTGGCCTCCTGTGGTGTAACTGATTGATTAAACCAGATAACATTACACTGGGCTCAGTCAAAGATAACATCGAAAGCCTGGTATGAAAAGGGCCCAGCATTTTAAAAGGGAAATTCACCTCATGAATACTACTACAACTTGCATAGCAGGCATCTTAGAGGGCAATAATGCCTTTGTTTTGTGAGTGAATTACCTTTCGTGCATTCATTGTTACTGAACTAATTCCATTATTGACGGGCACCCACCAGTGCTGACCCACCATATATATCAACTTCAGTCAAGGCCCTCAGTTAACAAAACTACCACAGCCTGTCAATTGTACCAATATGAGCCCAATTTACAGAACTGTTAAAACTGAAAGCTGTTGTCACTGAGAGAGGGACGGTTAGTTGTTAAAGTGATCAAGCCCGAAAGATCTGAGGCACAATGTGTCACCGTCAAATACATTACGCTTGCCCACCTCCTTGTGTGGGTAAAAGGGGTTTTTCACTGTAAGAGATGTGTTACATAAAGACTCTATGTAGAGGGAAAAGTTTGGGTGAAATTATAATCACCTTTTCATTTAGAGGTCTTTCCTAGTACATAAAGGTCGTGGTGCTTGGACCAATGTGATGTCCATGGCCTAAACGCGGAGGAATGTGATTCCTCCAGCAGCATTTACATGCTGAGAACAATCGACTACAACTAAAGTACTTAAACAAAGTTTTAGTTGTATTATATTTTATTTTAAGGAAGGCAACAACGAGATATGAAGGGAACATTGGGTATTGTAAAATGCTTATGTTCATATAGTTTGTAAAAAGTCAGAGAAAAATATTTTATTCCAATTTGTGATACATTATTTATTTTATTTTAATTACTTATCAAGTGGCTATGTTCTTAAATATGCATGAAAAATATTTCCCTCGTCCAACCAAACTTGAAAATACAAAACTTGTGGCACAATATTTTATATTCATCGATCAGCCTTTAGTCACATTAGTTCCCTCCTCATTTTGCAAAACAGTTATTTTTTAAATAGACAATTAAAGTTCATCGCCTACGTAACTTTGAATATGCAATATGAAAAAGAACGCAACCTCGTCCCCAGTGCTTACTTTATTTCCAACCTCGTTTCAATAGTAGTGTGCGCGTACTGCTTGACACCCTGGGGATGAGGCTGTATGCAACGTAAATTTAAAATATTACCAGGTGTAGCGTGAATATCCGACTCCATGAAATATGGACTCGTTGATATTATTGCGCATGCCTAAGTATGATAAAATGCTATTTATAGGATAATATATAGGAGAGTGACCTGTCACGCATGAGGGATTAACTTCGCTCGTACCCCCCGCCATGCAAACAGGACGCTTGGATACTCTGATGAGCTTCACAGAATCTTGTGAGGGAAGTGGCCTATGACCTATGTATAAAGCATCTGGCTGCAGCTGTTCAAGACCGCAGTTAGACAATGTGCGCAAATGCTATCCGAAAACTTACCATAGAAATGCTGACCCACCATATATATCAACTTCAGTCAAGGCCCTCAGTTAACAAAACTACCACAGCCTGTCAATTGTACCAATATGATCCCAATTTACAGAACTGTTAAAACTGAAAGCTGTTGTCACTGAGAGAGGGACGGTTAGTTGTTAAAGTGATCAAGCCCGAAAGATCTGAGGCACAATGTGTCACCGTCAAATACATTATGCTTGCCCACCTCCTTGTGTGGGTAAAAGGGGATTTTCACTGTAAGAGATGTGTTACATAAAGACTCTATGTAGAGGGAAAAGTTTGGGTGAAATTATAATCACCTTTTCATTTAGAGGTCTTTCCAAGTACATAAAGGTCGTGGTGCTTGGACCAATGTGATGTCCATGGCCTAAACGCGGAGGAATGTGATTCCTCCAGCAGCATTTACATGCTGAGAACAATCGACTACAACTAAAGTACTTAAACAAAGTTTTAGTTGTATTATATTTTATTTTAAGGAAGGCAACAACGAGATATGAAGGGAACATTGGGTATTGTAAATGCTTATGTTCATATAGTTTGTAAAAAGTCAGAGAAACATATTTTATTCCAATTTGTGATACATTATTTATTTTATTTTAATTACTTATCAAGTGGCTATGTTCTTAAATATGCATGAAAAATATTTCCCTCGTCCAACCAAACTTGAAAATACAAAACTTGTGGCACAATATTTTATATTCATCGATCAGCCTTTAGTAACATTAGTTCCCTCCTCATTTTGCAAAACAGTTATTTTTTAAATAGACAATTAAAGTTCATCCCCTACGTAACTTTGAATATGCAATATGAAAAAGAACGCAACCTCGTCCCCAGTGCTTACTTTATTTCCAACCTCGTTTCAATAGTAGTGTGCGCGTACTGCTTGACACCCTGCAGGGGATGAGGCTGTATGTAACGTAAATTTAAAATATTACCAGGTGTAGCGTGAATATCCGACTCCATGAAATATGGACTCGTTGATATTATTGCGCATGCCTAAGTATGATAATATGCTATTTATAGGATAATATATAGGAGAGTGACCTGTCACACATGAGGGATTAACTTCGCTCGTACCCCCCGCCATGCAAACAGGACGCTTGGATACTCTGATGAGCTTCACAGAATCTTGTGAAGGAAGTGGCCTATGACCTATGTATAAAGCATCTGGCTGCAGCTGTTCAAGACCGCAGTTAGACAATGTGCGCAAATGCTATCCGAAAACTTACCATAGAAATGCGCACATTCCATACCGGATGTGATTTCTGTTTCATTGCGTCGCATAATACAATCCGACTGTTCGTGATTCGAAACGGAGCCTGAGCAAGTGGCGGGAATTGTTAATGTACAACACAGATAAGTTTTACAGAATTTCCTACATTATTACGCTTTTCAACGAGAAAAAAAATCTCTAAACTGGAATAAAAGAATAATGAATCAGTCTTAACGGCCGTTTCAAACGTTGCAGAGTCATGACCTTGATGACGCGCAGGTCACTGGTCACGCAACTCCAGCCAATCAGAGCGTGAATTCATCAGAGTATCCCAGCGTCGAGCGAAGGGATTAACCAATAATAGGGAAAAGGAGACCGATATTCACAGGAGTCTGATTTTCATATGACACCGGCCCCATATCGGTTTGAATAGAGCTTGTCCGTTTCGCTCGTAGAGATAGCTCTATGTGATTTCACTCAAAATTTTGGGGTAAATTGGTTTGTTCCTAAAGAGGGCGCTAGAGGGCATTACACAGACCGATTAAGGTCAATAGAGGGCGCTACCGACTAAGCTCTCGTGGAGTTTATTAATTACGGTACGGGGGATCTGTGTTGTGTGTCTAAAGCTAATTAAACTTTAGCTTTTAGGGCCGCTGGTGTTCCACTAAAATGGGTTCGATTCCTTATTTCCGTACTTGAAGCCAACGTCCAGAGCACAGTGATGAGTCAAATAAAATAAGAGAGTCTTGGCACACATGCCTCTGGCATGAAAGCATTATTTTCATTTATTATTTCGCAGGTCAAATTTACGATGGGAAAAGAAAAAGAATACCAATAAAAATATTACAGACAGTATAGACATAAAAAAAGACAAGTTAAAAAAATACACATCAAAGCAAAAATTATACCAAAAAAAAAAAAATAAAAAAATAAGGCCCTTACACCAAGATATTTGCACGCCCCTGCGGGATTGCTAAAAAGTAAACTAAATCACTGTCAAGTAGCTCTCCCATGTATGTTATTTGGTTTTATGAATGATTTTGTCTGGGATTCTTATGGTGCCCCGGTACATAGTAGTTACTCCATAAAGTGCTCACTGCGCGTGCGCATCAAGAGGTTTTCACAATCTTTCGGACAATCACCACCCCCCCCCCCCAAAAAAAATATTGATAAGCATCGCAAAATGTCAACGTACTATTTAGATTTCATTGACACTACTTGGATTTCCTTTTATTCATTTATTCGTTTATTCATTTATTCCGTTATTTATATTTTAAATTGATTTCTCGGTATATTTGTTGTCTTAATTTTTT